GGTCATCAAATTATGTAACAAGCTCCTGTGCAGATACATATTGTGTAGATCCAAAGCCATTTTGTTACAGCAGACTTGGCCCTTTAAGACTGTAGGTGACTATTTATGTTTCACAAATTATATAGCATATTAATGCTTTTTGTTTTCTGAGGTTTTCGCGGGTATTTGTATGTAGGTCTTTGGTTGTTCGGGTTTTCTCCCGCGTAAAATTGGAAGTGTCTTGGCAACGTTTCGACGAAGTCTCATTCGTCATCTTCAGGCTGGTGTTTTCAGCTTCGTGCTTTGAGCAGCAATGTGTGGTAATATTAATGCTTTTTATACATCCCTGCACTTCCCAGAGTTGATAGATTGGGGTGGCATATATGTATTCAAGATGGACAGTGATTAATATTTATATGTTATTTATATGTAAGGGTGTAGGTTTATACATATGTTGTATATAGCATGTTTTAAACGTGTGTTATGTCTCTGTACACTTTTGAGAGCAAGCAACAAAATTTCATTCTTAATGTGTGCCAATGTGCACATAGTAAAAAATGACAATAAAGGTTATCTATCTATCTATCTATCTATCTATCTATCTATCTATCTATCTATCTAAACTGCTTATAAGAAATAATTAAATAACAAGTTAACATTAATAGAAATTTCTCCAGACATAGGTGTCACATTTTCAGTTTTTTTAAACTTCATGTTTAAATTGCAATTGATTTAAAATTCAATGGAAACATTGAGTATTCAGAAATAATTTCCCTGAAACTTTATGGCCATTTTTTAGAGGCTACTGTGTTGAACACTTCTAACATTCAGCACCATAGAAGAACCAAGTCATAGTACAGTTTTGCCTGCTGGGAAATTTCCATGGGACATTTGTGACAGAAAAAAATAGCTAATGTCTATTATGGAAATGAAAATGAAGATTAAAGAAACTGAAGGAAAAAAGAAGGATATTTGTTACTAAGTCATCAGCTGGCTGTTTTATTGAAGAGCCAGAATATTTACAAAAATAATTTTAATCAAGAACAGTGACTGCACAAATCATAACACCACATGGTATAATCTATCATAACTCTGCTTTTCCCTATTCTAAAAGCAAAGCACACTGAATAACCAATTTGCAATTGTTTGTGGAAGATTTACAACTATAGGAGACTGGCTGTCTACCTTCTGGCTTATTGTATGATAGCTATTACTAATCCAGCAATATTTTAAATATTTCAAGCAATTCATCACTCTCACCTTTGTGATGACCTGATCTCATATAATTTGGGTGCATTTATGACAATCAACTGTCTTATGTATATGTAACTTAGCATTGGGAGGAAGCTGCATTTCTCAAGAATTCTATAAAGCAAACTATTGCAGACTAGAAACTGAACTTTAAAAGTGAAATGAAAAAAAAATAGTTTATTTATTTATACAACTTATACAATAAGCCAGAATGCTTTAATATTCTACTTTAGCATGTTTGAGTAAACTTATCATTTCCATTTAACTTCCGTTAGTTTCAGTGTTATGGCAAGCTAGAAAAGCTATCTTCCAGGATTCTTTTTGTCACCCATTCATAGCTGGAATACTGGATGGTTCCTCTTGTAAACATTCAGTCATAAGTCAAAAGATAAAAAAATGGCATATTTATAATAACACTGTTGTATTTGTAATGACAAACAAACCACAGGCAGAAAGTTTGTTTAGTAACTTCTACCCAAAGGATAAGCCAAGAATGAGCAATGTTGGCATCCCCTGACATACTTGTCTGATCACAAGATTTGCAAATAACCCTTTCAAGTGTTTGTTGCAGGAAATGCTGGTGTGTATATGCATAAAGCAATTCTATTTGCCTTAAAGAAGGTAGAGAAAGGTATATGGCAAGTATACCTCTGTGCCCTCTAGACCCAGGCAGCACCCTGATTTTCTATAGAGATTTTGAACTATAAGCTAATCAACTGCAGCCTTCAAAATAAGATTCTTCTTACACTGATTGCTAAACAAAAGCCAACTAGACTAGAAAGGAAAAGGACAGAAGACTGTAGATTTAGAAAATGTGTGCATATTGGGGAAGGTCAAAGGACTTTTGCAGACTCTCAGTCCTTCTTCCCACTAAAAAGCAACCAGCTTGTATGAAGAACATGTGTATTATCAATGGGTTAGCCAGTAGGCTTTGAACTGTATTCGTCTGACTATCTTCTTTAAACTATCCATTTGATTTGGGGATTGGTGTTTGTTCTAAAATCCAAACTGCCTTGAGGAAGCTGGCTTGTACTGAACAGACCTGTGATCCATCTATCCCAATGTTGTTAAAACAGGTTATATTCATAATCTCAGCATGGTGAATTAACCCAATTGCTTAGTTTTGTAAAATACAAAGAATCGTAAACAAACTGCACTAGGTAGCCACAAACTAATTAATCACATTTCATTCAATCTGTTGTGTATACCCAGACACTAAATAGAAGCAACTCTCCAAGTTTCCAACTGGAACCTTTTCTGGTTTTCCTTGGAGATGCTGAAAGTTGAAATTGGAACCTTTAACGTGCAAAGCAGATGTTCAACATTGAGATAACAGTCTGCGAAGAAGGAAACACGCTTGCCAAGTAAATAGCTTTAGATAAGGAGAAAAGGGTAACTCAGCGGGAGCAGTCAAATGAAGGTGACAAGAGTAAATATTTTGTCAAAATAAGTATCAAATAATGGCTATTGAAGATATACTAAAATGCAGAAGTAATAATTGGTAGAAGATATGTAGATGTATACCTATTGGGAAACTAGAAGTGGTAAGAATGGGAATTCCAGAAGAGCAATATGTGTTTTTCAACACTTGCCCAGGAAACTTGTTGTCTCTGTTTTAAAAAATGGGTAATTGTATCCATTAATATTAAGAATGACATAGAACTTTACTTCTTACATAGCAAAAATACTGGATTGCACTGAAGTTCTGTTTGTCTAGAAGCTGCTAATTATTCCTGCTTTTCCTGAAGACAAAGTAGTTTGAGACAAGCTTTCATGAGCCTTTGTGTTTCTACACACTTCTTTCATTCTCTCTCCAACCTCTCTGGTATAACTTGTTCTTACCCTTGAGTTAAAATAAAAAGTTAATCTTTTAATGAACTTTAAATCCATATGTATTCACTACAGTTAGTCAAAGTAAGTCATAGTGCATCTAACATAAGTTGTCATACTACATCTAACACCTAATAAAATAAGAGAAAGATGATCTCAGTTGTTATGTGTACCAGTAGTTAATGATAAATTAGAGCTCTTAGAGTTAATAAAGTCCTAGAGACAATCATGTAGAGACAGATGAAACCACTCTTAATGAAACAACCTGTATTAACATATACTTCTTTACTCAGCAAATTAAGTAAGAAATAAAGGAGATTAATATTATTGTTGCTATTAGCTTGAATCACTGAAACTCTCAAGTACACATCAGCTTCCTTTGTGCATAAGTAATTAAAAGGATATATGCGTGTTAAATCACAGCAATGCAAAAGCAATAAAAAATAATGAAGGGATGGCCAAAAGAAACTACACTCTTATCAGTTGCATCCTTTAGTTTTAATGTTTCAGTAGTCACTTCCAAACTGGAAATTTTTTATACCTGCAAACTACTTATTCAATCTTGTTTGCCTGTACAATTTTCTATGGTTCATTTTAGACTTATCCTCAGCACTACTAGATAGGCAGCATAGAAGGATGCCATTCATTAAGTGATATTGTGCACCATCACATGAATTTATCCAATATCATTTCTATGCTGGTTTACATGCAGACATACCTTTAGTCCCTCTAACAAAAAAAAAAAAGTCTGTAATAAGGGCCAGTTGGATAATTTCTCATTGCTGATTGAATCCCACCAACCCCAACAGTTTCTATCTGCAGCAATTTTTATAAAAAGGCATAAAACTGAGTACTGACATTAAGATTTTTTTTCCTTTTTATATTTTATATACCTTTATTTATTTCAAGTTTATCTAATTTTTTATATTGTTCCATTGTATCTTGTCCAATTTTTCAATTTTCCCATTTTCTTAAATCTTCATTTTAGGGTTTTATATGATCAATGCAGTGCTTTGTTCAATCTAGTCATTATTTCTGTATTTTCACTTTGCTGACCACAGATCATAAATAAATATAATTGATTTAGTTTTAATGTGTGGAGGTTTTTTTTAGCTACTGGAAGACATTTCCAATTATCTTTGATATCTGCTTGGAATTAGTTAAACTCTATCACACAATGGACATTTGATGTGGGCAATTCCAGAAAACTTGCTAATATGAATTCACATTATTGACCCAGATACTTTTGAGATCTTTGTCTTTCCAGTTTAGCATTGTTTTAGACCAAGGCTCTCTAGTTACTTTGAGGGCAATCTCAATCATTATCATTGCCATACAGTGTAAGTTGGGAGACCTGCAACATCTAGAAAGCAAAAGTTGGTATCCACCTACTTTAGTTTAATCTATAATTATAGTATATCCTATTATTTTCTCTCTGATCTGACATTTTTTGGAATTGCCATATGACATATAAGTTCCAAACTTATAGAACTATATACACTATTCTAAATATAGAGTATATATTTAAATACTTTGCCATTTTAAAATATTACTTTGAATACCTTGAACAGTGCATTTGATGTGTACTTTTTTGCTGTAGAGATGCTTTACTGAACTAATCACCATAATCTTAAAATGTTTTTTCCTGACTACTAACTACATAAAACCCTGTAAATGGGTTGTAAACATAGCTTTATTTTTGCACACTAAATCAGCCCTAAGCCAAGCTTAAAAATTACCCTCCCAACTGAACAAAATATATTATAGATCTGGTTTTATATTCTGCTCTATATTCCAATTTCTACAACAACTTAGGAATTGGCATTGCATCAAGCAACCTGCCTAAAATTTAATATCTACCTGAGGCAGAATTTTCCATTTTTTCCCAGTGATTTTAATGCTATCTGTCAGAATACTTCAATGAATCACTAAGATATTACCTGGAAGAAATGGGATGATTCTCTGTTTGGGATCTTTTTGGCCTCCTTCAACAGGGAATTTATCCAAAAGTTGCATCTGAAAAAGAAATATTTACTATGAACTATAATTTACCATACACTTTCCCAAATCCCAGCTTCAGCATGGCCTCTTTCTTAATTATAACACATTTAGAGTATCAGCTGTAAACAAAACAGATTTTTTTAAAAATGTAACTCATGAAGAGAATCTATGTTCCCAAGAAGCAAGGTGAATTACATCAGAGTTTGCATAGAATTAAAGTCTGGCATTCCAACAATTTCTGTATTGGACATTTTCTACTTTATGGAATAACAATCCAGCTTGGTTCCCCCATAATTTAAGACAGACCACCTACTAGCAAAAACTATGGCCTCAGAACCACCAGAGAATTTCAGTGAAGCATCAAATATAGTTGTTGGCAGACTCCCTTATCCCCCACACAAGACAGTGCTTCTCCATGTATCTTGGAGAGACTTATATGAAGTAGAAAAGTTTCTTAGAGATCTGGAAATACTCACTCACTGGAATTGCTGAACTTTGTTGGAACAAAATGTGTTCTTATAAAGTTGAAGGTTGTATCACCCTTGCTGAAAGACTCTCCCTTTCCTGCTGACCACATACTTTTGCATGCTTAACTCAGTGTGTGGTCAGAGCAAATGACATACAGCACATTCATAATATATAGAACATTTGGCTAAGTTTTTAGTCAGAGGATGGATAAATGTTTAATCTATATACGCTATTATAAGTTAGACAACACCCAAAAGTAAGCAAAAACAACAAAAAACAAAATCTTCTCAAAACAGTAAAATTCAAATGAAAATTTCAGTGATTTGCTTCTTACTGAAGCATCACAATAAACCTAATACTGAAACAACAAAATTGCTAGAAATGTATGCATCTAGTGCAGAGTTCCCCAACCTTGTTGGCTTTGTGGACTGGCAGGGGGAGGGAGAGGATGGTTCCGCATGCATGCAGCTGCATTTGTGCAAGCAGCAGGCACACACCCCTCTTGTGCAAATGGAACGTGTGTGCACGCGCTCACCCACTGTTTGTGTGAGTGGGGATGTGCATGCACACATGCGTGCACACTACTTCTGTGGTCTAGTTCCAAAGGACTTAAGGCTTGGTAGTGGGCTGCAGCCCAGGCTTGGGGACCCCTGATTTACTGCATACATGTATGATCACATTTGTGTACAAAAGAATAGATTTTAAACGGTGGATATATAAGAAAGCCCAGGTGGAAAAATCTAGGAACTGAAATGGGTTTAGGATGCTATGGCCATGTCCATATGAGGTTTCTGAAGCATTTGTAAAGCAGTTCTTCTGAATTCAAATGCAGCAGTATTAACAAGTTGAGCTCAATTATTTTCATTACAGCTATGGTGTACTTGGGTTACGAGGTTTTAGTGAGATGTGAAAAGGTGGGGTGAGATATAAAAATCAACAGCAAAATTAATCTGCATTACAGCCTCTACATGTAGAGCAAAGAATGTATTCATTTTCAAAACGGTTCGTCTATGCCCATACACCAATTGAAAAAAATCAAAGCAGAAATGGTGGAGACATGATTAGAGAAGCTTTACTATGTATCAGTATCTTACATCTTATGCACTTGTACCCGTAATATTATTGATTGCATAACCATAATGTAACCATTAGTCTTAGTTCAGCCAACATGCCAGACAATGATAATGCAAGGTAGCCCATAGCAAGACTTGATTATAAACAACATTTTGATTTATAGCAAGATTTGAGTGATACTTTAAGCTAAGCCCACACTGAGTGAACAAAACATGCTTAACTTGTCTATAGCAACACAACATACTGAATCATAAATTAACTAAATGGGCTAGGTTCACACAACATGCTAAACTACAAAAAAGCTAATTAAGGTTTAAAGTAACTGAGCTTACTATATTGTGTGAATACAGCTGATGGTTTCTGAACTACTGTAGTTAGAGGCACCAGATGAAGCTAGCCCACGGCTTAGTATGTCAATTGAATTAATTTATAGTGGCTTCCAAAAGCAATCCAAATAATGCCCGATTATCTGATTTGAAAGCATTGCTTAATCAAAACTGCAAACTTTCCACACATAAGCACTTATGGGAATTACATGTTATTATCACTGCATGAACACAATAAAAGTCTAATTTGTGTGCAAAGTTAGATGGAAAGGAACCATAAAATTTTGTCTTCAGCGAATCACTCAAAGCTGAAAGAAAGTGGCTTTAATGTGTCCTGGCACAGATGAAGACCTCAAAGAAGAAGCCTGCCAGGATTCACACAGTGGTGTGTTCATATAATATAGTTGACCTAGTAACTATTCAGTAAAAATATGTATTCCCAAATAAAAACAGTGCATGATACTCCAGTCAAATAGAAGAAACCATATTTGGCACCTAGTACTTACCACAAATGTGGCTGCATGACAGAATTGGAAGCTAGTTAAGTACTTTATTTTACTTCCTTTCCTTTTTTCTGTCCTCTCTGGCTCTACCTTGACAAAAGTAGAGTTCCTATAGAAGTCCCATTTTTCTTGCACTATTCTGTGTCTTCAGATTCCAGTAATAAAAAAAGATTTATCCTCTCATTTTACTTGCATAATATAGCTGGCTAGGGAAAGTTAGTTTAGCTCCAGAAAACTACAGAGCTATTTGAGCTAAAACTAACTCCCTTAACTTCAGTAGCCATTGGTCTTAACTCTTCATACAATATTTAGTCTTCCTTCTTGACCTATACATACTATGTATACAACCAATAACTGGAGGTTTGGCTCTAACAAAATTAAAAATAGTTAGTACCTTGGAGAGCTCAGTGCAGGAAGCCACAAGCTTAGAACTTTCATTAGTGGAACTGTTTTCTAGGCCTTGTCTTGGACAATTGAGGGCTTAAGAAGGCTTAGCTCCACCAGGCTTATTGCTGTCTTTAGACTTAAGTCCCTTCTGAATCTCAATTTTGTGCAAGACTGAAAAATTAGAGTTAATCTTCTGAGGTTATCACTTAATTGGAGGGTATCTTTATTTTTAAACCCTAGGCCAGGAAGGCTAAAAAGAAAAGGGTCATAGCTTCCTTTGTGCTAGTGTAACGTGAAATTAATCATTGCTGAGCTCCTGGCTACAGGGACATGACATAATATTTCTTTTCTTTCAATGGATGGAAAATCTTCATATTTCTGTATTTTTATGCTTTGGTTTCCAATAGATCGGGTGTGTCAAACTCACAATGTCACATGATGTGTCATGACGTATCGCAACTTTTTTTCCATTGCCAGCAATGGGGTAGGCACGGTTTCAGCATGATGCATCCAGCCCGCAGGCTGGCAGTTTGACCCCCCTGCTATAGACAGTAAAGACTACCTCAGGTCAATCAGTCCTAAGATTACTTTCTTCAAAAGAAAACAAAGTTATACCTCAGCCCTGAGTTTTGCTGTCACTGCATTTTCATCCAGGAAGATTGACTCTGTGGCAAGAACTGACAGACACATTCCTGGATTCTTAGAAGTAGGTTTGTTTGGCTTACACAAGCCTTTTGTACCACATCAAAGTGGTTATATGGCATTTAAATAAGCCATATTTATCCACAGCATAGATATCCATTTAACAGAGGCAGAAAACTAAAGCTATAGAATCCAGAAATCTTCCGTTAACACAATAAATATGAGTAATGTGGAAGACTGACTGCAGAACCAGTATTTATTTATGTGTATTGACAGTATTGATGTGACTTGTACTCCACTAATTATAGGAGTATGGAGTCACCAAAATTGCTAGCCCACTAAAATCACTTAAAGGACATAGCAATCTTGCAAACTCATACAGATACGGGCAAATATTTATATTTGATATTCAAATAATTTTTGTTGTAGCAGATATCAACTGATATACAGTAGATCAAGTAACAAGGCTAATCTACAGGATCTGATTCAGAATCTGATTTATGATAAATAGTACAAAAGCAGTAAGCAGATCTGCCTAAAATCCATCTGCTGATCAGTGAGCTAGACTTTGTTTAATTCCAACTGCTAAGAATATTTTTTTCTCCAAAGAAGGTTGACATCCTGATCTACAGATTATCACTATATCAAAGGTCTTTCCACACCTTTCTCCAAGGAAGTAGTATTTCAACAGTTTTATTTTAATGAAGTATTAGTTTATCAAAAATGGAAGTTCTGTTTGTTTTTCTGTTATTCTCTGTAATCATTATGGAATTCCCTAAGTGAACCTAATGAAGAGTAAACTGTTAGTACGATATTCACCATTCAACTTGAGCTAGCACAGAAAGGTATTTTTAGGTTTGTGCTCTTGGTAACCTAGTACAGCAAAGTACATTTTACACATTCAAAAGGTAGATAACATTGGCTTTATGAACAGCAGGGTTAATTTTCAATACAGATTCAATTCTCGAATCTTAAGCATAACCTGATATTCAGGTTGAACTTCTTGCTTTTTCTATTTTACTTCTTTGCATCAAAAGAATTATAAATGTCTTGAGGAGACTGGTAGAGCAGAGCCTATTAAGATAATAACTAGTTTTTTCTTCCAGTGTAAATAATGCATGTGGAATCAGACTAGTGAGAAGCAAAGTGTAAATAGCTCTTGTTTTCTTTCCACCAAACAAATATGAGCTTCTTAATCTAATAATCCATTCATGGAATTGTTAACTCTCTGAAAAGCATTATATCCAGCTTTGTCCTGAACTTTTGTTTAAAAATAAAACAAAAATTACCAAGACTTTATTCTACGCACTTTAATATAATCTGTAATTTGTGCATAAAGACTTTCAAAAGCAACCAGTACTTATGCTCTAAAAAAATGTTCACAGGAGCTTCCTGGATATCTTTGGAAAACTCTTCTGGGTTCTGAAACATTAATAAGTTGTGTGACCTGTGTTATCACAGGCATCATAAGCAAAGTGGCATGTCATTATTGTTTGATTGCTCTGCAATGAAATTGCAGCTAGTATCTGAAAAACATAATCAATATCCTGAAAATGCAAGAGCACATGAGCTTGACCATATGGAATGAAACTGTATCCCATAGTGGCTGCAGAAG